TCCGTCAGGTGGCAGCTGCCGGAGGCAATTCGACAAGATCTAGAGATTGCCCACATCATCTTTGTCCAAGGAGAGCCTTCAAGGCTATAGACACTACACGATGATCCTCCCAAACGCTCAGGATTTTGGTGCATCGCCGACACATCGCCATCGCGACGCCGGAACTCTGTTTTCTTACTTTCAACTTACTTTACGCTTCATTTAGTGATATTTTGTGTGATTTTAATTTACCAAAATATACTTCATTCAATTACGATTCTTCTGGTTTTTCCAGATCTTAATTTGATTAATTAAATCGTCTGTAATCGCTTACGTAAGAATCGCCAGGCGGAACTCTATTTCTGCTTGATTCGCGTTCGTCAGGTGCTGACATCATCCTAACGTCTGCACCCTTATTTCCCTTTTTTGTGAATTTTAAATATATTTTCTTTTCATTTCCTAGTATAAAATTTATAGAAAATCGTATTCTTTGAGGAAAATTCTAAATAATTACCAGATTACATCCCTATGATCGACTTGGAAAATTACCACTATTTTTGAAAGTTTTATTAAATTATAATTGATATATTTATTCAGAAATACTTCTAAATATTTAAAAATTCATATTTTCCAGTTTTATAAATTTTAGATTTGTGTGATTTAATATACAACGACTAAGTCACGTCAAATGTTGGTGCCGTTGCTAGGGATGTATTGCATAATATTTAGTATTTTTCTATTTTTCTCTTAGAATACACAAAAAAAAATAACTCTTGTTTTATTTTTATTTTTGCCGAATTATTTTTTTAAGAAAAAAAAAACGAAAAGAAGCAAGGCAAGGACTGGAGCGTACTGAAGGAGGGTAACAACTACTAAACTTTTCCCTTGAATTTATTGATTTTTTATGCATGGTAGAAGATCTTTGCATCCAAGGCTAGAAAATCCTTTCATTATTTTATTCAAAACTAAAAATCTGAAAGAAAAATTAATTTTGATAGATCCTAAAGAAAGTACATGTCAAACTGAGAATAATCTTATGGCCATGAAAAATTATTATATCCCTGATTCATTTCAAAGAGCATCCAATATTAGAGTCTTATTAGCACCCACTGTTAAATTTGAAATAAATCTAGAAAATTTTCAAATACTCCCTAATTTTCATGAATTGCCTTTAGAGGAACCTCATCAGCACTTAGAAAAATTTCATATGGTCTGTGATTTAGTTAATCTCCCTCAAGTTACATCAGAAATTATTAAGATGAAATTATTTCCTCATACACTTAGGGACATAGAACATACATTTCTTTGAAAAATTATCTCTTAGGTAAAACTCAAAATATGAGAAAATATATATGGAGTTTTTTTCAAAGACTAGGAAAAACTTTACATGAGACATGGAAAAAATTCAAAAATTTACTTAGAAAGTGTCCTCATCATACTATACCCAAGTGGTAGCTCAATAGAATTTTTTATGATAGATTATTAGAACAACATAGAAATATGGTTGATTCTATATGTGGAGGGACTTTTATGAAGAAAACCCCTGATGAGATTTACAGTCTTTATGAGAATTTAAGTGAAAATTATAGAGATCAAGCCTCTTTTGAATTATATGATAGGGATAAGAAGAGAGGAATTTATGAATTGTATCATGATGATGATTCTAAACTTAAAAATGAAGTTAATCAGATTAATCAAAGATTAAAAAAATTAATTTACTTATTGACAATATTAAAAAACCTTTTAACCCTCAATTTAATTTAAATAGTACATGTCCTATATATGGTGAAAATGATTATTCTAAATTTTAATACTATAATTTAGATCAATCATTTCACCCTATGCAAGAATAAGTGCAAGTAGCTCACGGTGTTAATAGAAATAGGGAACCTTTTTCAAATTCTTATAATCCTAATTGGAGGAATAATTTCTCATAGAGAGACTCAAATAATATTCAAAATCCAGAAGCACTTAGACCCAATTCAAACTTTGAATTTTGTCTAAAATAAAAAAATAGATTTTAGAAAAATCAGCCATCTCAAACCCAACCTGGTAATATGGAAATGATGCAGCAAATGAACCAAATGATGCAACAAACTATGAATCAAATGATGCTGAACTAGAAACAAATTATAAAGGCTCTTGGGAATAAGAGAGAAGAGGGACAACTACCTAATCAGCCCATAGAAAATCCAGGGAACTGCTCAACAATAGGATTTCAGCAAGGAGAATCTAGTAGCATGAATCTAGGAAAAAACCCACGAAATGAAAATGTTAGGACAGTGAATGCATTAAGGAGTGGTAAGATCTTACTTGATCTTTATCCCCAAACATTAGAAGAAAAGAAAAACGTAGACAACCCAAAACAAAATCAAATAGGAGTAGAAAAAGATTTTATAGATTCTACCAAGGAAATTTTGAAAGAGAGGACAACCATTCCATTTTCTAAAGCTCTAGAGCCTAGATAAAGAAAGAAAAAGGAACACAATGAAGAAATAAAGAGAATTTTACAAGATGTGCAAATTAGTCCTCCTTTACTCACTGCCATTGAACATATTCTTGAATATACTAGAGTTTTGAATACACGAAAAAAGGCACCTAGAGTAGAAAAATTATCTATGCATGTTAGTGCTTTATTATTAAATCAATTACCATATAAATTGAGAGATATGGGTGCCCCTTTAATTTCGTGTGACATTGGTGGATCTATTTTTCAGAATGTATTACTTGACACCGGTGCTAGTATTAATTTATTACCTACAAGTATTTGTGATAAATTTAATATTTATGATCTTAAACCTTCTACTATTACCTTACAATTTGCTGATAGATCTATAAAACATCCTAAAGGTATTTTAGAAAATGTGATAGTGACAGTTAAAGGGTGTAAATTTCTAACTGATTTTGTAGTGCTGGAAATAAATTTTAATGGATATTTTTATGATACACTAATCATCATAGGGAGACTATTTTTGCATACAATAAAGATGAATATTGATTTTTCCACAAGTATTGCGAAAATTTCACGTGGAGATCAATCAATAGAAATTAAAATTTTTGAGGTATCAAATGATCTTAAGAAATCCTAAATATATGATTGTCATATCATAGATCTTCTAGATGATTTTGATGATCCAGATGTTATTGATGACTGTGTGCTGGAAGAATTAGAGGAAATAGAGAATATAAATTTGGGAGAAAAGAAAGAGGAAGATCATCTGAATTTAGAGTTGAAACCTCTTCCCTCTAATTTAAAATATATGTTTTTAGAGGAAAATAATTCATTTCCTATTATTATTGTAGCTGATTTGAGTGATAAATAGGAAGAAGAATTATTAGATGTACTTCGAAAAAGTAAGAAAGCTATGGGGTGGAAAATAGATGATCTAAAGGGCATTGATATGAGTGTATGCATGCAAAGTATATATCTAGAGGAGGGGGCTAGAACTAGCAGAGAACCACAATGAAGATTAAATCCTAACATGATGGAAATTATAAAAAAGGAAATTTTAAAGTGGCTGGCTGCTAATATTATTTATCCTATTTCAGATAGCAAATAGGTTAGTCCTACACAAGTGGTGCCAAAAAAATCAAGGATCACGGTTATAAAAAATGAAAATGGGGATGAAATACAAACGAGATTAACTATTAGTTGGAGGGTTTGCATTGATTATAGAAAATTAAATTCAATTACTAGAAAATATCATTTTCCCCTACCATGTACTAATCAAATTCTAGAAACATTAGTTGGAAAAAACTTTTTTTATTTTCTAGATGGATACTCTGGTTATAATCAAATTTATATAAACCCTTTAGATCAAGAAAAAACAACTTTCACTTGTCCATTTGGTACTTTTGCTTTTAAATGCATGCCTTTTGGTTTGTGTAATGCTCCATCCACATTTCAAAGATGTATGTTGTCTATTTTTTCTGATATGACTGAAAAATACATGGAAATTTTTATAGACGATTTTTCTATTTTTGGTGAATCATTTGATGAATACTTAAATCATTTACATCATGTACTTAAGAAATGCATAGAGAAAAAAATAGTTTTGAGTTGGGAGAAATCACATTTTATGGTTAGAGCGGGAGTTGTGTTGGGTCATATTGTGAGTGAAAGGGATTTAGAGGTGGATAGAGTAAAAATTGATATTATATCTAAAATGAAACCTCCAAATTCAGTAAAATAGATTAGATTTTTCTTGGGTCATGCAGGTTATTATATAAAATTTATTCAAGATTTTTCAAAAATTTCTAAACCTCTCACCATGTTATTATCTAAAGATGTGCCTTTTAATTTTGATGAGAAATGTTTTGAGTCTTTTTCTGAAATAAAAAGATTACTTACTGAGGCACCCATTTTACAAGCTTCTGATTGGTCCTTTCCCTTTGAAATAATGTGTGATGCATTGAATTTGTAGTGGGGGCAGTTCTAAGACAAACAAAAGAATCAAAACCTATAGTAATTTCATATGTTAGTAAAACTATATCTGATGCTCAATTAAATTATACCATGACTGAAAAAGAGTTGTTAGCTGTAGTATTTTCATTAGAAAGGTTTAGATCATATATTTTGGGAGCTAAAATTATTATTTATACTAATCATGTAGCATTAAAATATATGTTAAATAAGAAAGATGCAAAGCCACGTTTATTAAGATGGATTTTATTGTTATAAGAATTTGACTTAGAAATAAAAGATAAAAAAGGTTTCGAGAATATTGTTGCTGACCATCTTTCTAGATTAAGTGATACAAAAATAAATGCAGCACCTTTACAAGACACATTTCTAGGTGAACAATTGATGGCAGCTCAACATCAACCATCACCATGGTATGCACATATTATCAATTTTCTGGTTTTAGGAAAACTTTCAAAATAGTGGGATAAGAACAGAAAATATCATTTATTTTCTAAGATTAGAAATTATTTTTGGCATGATCCTGATTTATATTACTTGGATAATGATCAAATTTTAAGGAGATGTGTTCTTGAAGAAGAATATCAGCATTATTAACATGTGCCATTCATCTAACTGTGGAGGACATTTCTCTAGACGAAAAACAGCTGCAAAAATTTTTCAATGTGGTTTTTATTGGCCTACAATCATTAGAGATTCTATAGAATTTAGTAGAACATGTATTTCATGCCAATTTATAAGTAATATGAGTAAAAAAGATGAAATGCCCATGAGTAATATATTAGTAGTCGAAATTTTTGATGTATGGGGAATAGATTTCAAGGGTCCCTTCCCATCAGCTGAAAAATATGAATATATTTTGCTTGGTGTTGATTATGTGTCGAAGTGGGTGAAAGCTATTCTTACTAGAACTAATGATCACAAAATCGTGATGAAATTTGTGCAGGAAAATATTTTTTCGAGATTTGGATGTCCTAGAGTGATTATTAGTGATGGAGGAACACATTTTACAAATAAATATTTCAAAGAACTATTGAAAAAGAATAGAGTATACCATAGAGTAGCCACTTCATATCATCCCCAAACAAATGGGCAAGCTGAAGTAGCAAATAGGGAAATTCAGAGAATTTTGAGAAAAATAGTTAGACCAAATATGAAAGATTGGCCCACGAAATTACAAGATGCATTATGACTTATAGAACAGCTTATAAAAATCCCATAGGTATGTCTCCATTTTGCCTCATTTTTGGAAAGCCATGTCATCTTCTTATGGAAATAGAGGATAAATCATTATGGGTTATAAAAAATTATGTATGGATGAAAAATCAGCTGGTGGGAATAGAATTTTTCAATTACATGAACTAGAGGAGTTGAGGAATGAAGCTTATGAAAATCATAGAATATATAAAGAAAAAACTAAAACTTTTCATGATAAATACATTAGTAGGAAAAAATTTGATGTTGGACAAAAAGTGTGGTTATATGATTCCAAGCTGAAATTCTTCTCAGGAAAATTAAAATCAAAATGAAAAGGGCCTTATGTGGTGGAAGAGACATATGATCATAGGTCTGTAATGATTAAAGATCCTAAAAGTGATCATAACTTTAAGGTAAATGGACAACGGCTTAAACATTACAAAGAACATGAACGCCTTGTAGAAAAAGAAATTTTATTATTAAAAGAAATTCAAGAGTAAGATCAAGGTGTCCAGTTGGAGACATTAAATTCAGCGCTGCATAGGAGGCAACTCATAGTTTTTATTTCATTATATTTGATTTTTTTTTAAGCTCTGTTTTTCTTAGAATTTCGTAGTACTTATTTCTGTATTTATTTTTTCGAAAAGGTGCAGGAGGAGGAGTGTAAGATGAAGTGGAAAATTAAAAATGAGGTTGAGGTGATGTCTTTCTGAGCTTTATCATTTCTGACAATATTTTTAATACTTAACTTTGCATATATGCATGCTTCACTTGAAAATTATATTTTCTGCATATTCTGTTTCAATTTTTCTGTGTCATTGAGGACAATGTCATCTTTAAGTTGGGGGGGTGAAGTATTCATTATTAATTTATGCTGTAGGACGATTAAGAACATGTGTTTGCATTATAACAGCAATTGAAAAAATAAAAATAAATTAAAATTTAGAAAAATTGCAACATCTATTTTCTGGTTTTCTGTTAGGAACAACAAATTATTAAGAATAATAGACAAAAAAACAGCCTGAAATTTGAAATTCTAAAGATCCTTTTCTCACATTTCAATTCCCTAGACATATATTATTGAAATTCAAAATTACAACTATAAAGAGGATAGTTTTGATTTATTTTTGATAAATTTATTACTGCTAAAAATAGAACTGAAAACATAGCTGTCAGAACTATCTAATTTATAAATTTCTTACATCATATTGCATGCATGAAAAATTAAATCAATTAGATTGATTGATACCAAAAGATATTAGAAAGATTATTATTGAGTCAAAAGAATGATCTAGTAGCATAAAATGTTGGAATACTCCTTGGATACATGATAGATAACATGGATTTGATTTTATAGATTTTCACTTCATGATCTTGATGGATAGTATTTACTTGATGTGAAAATTTGATTGATCATTTGAGTTTAATGGAGATTTTTGCACCTTGATCTATAGGACTTGTGAGGAGAAATCACTTATTTTTTTAAAAAAAGAAAGAGCAATATGAAAAATCTAGAAACAAAAAGTACACATGGAGGGTGTGAAACATCATTCTCATTATTGAAAATCATGCATAGAAAAACACTTGCTGCAAAATAAGTGGATTAAGTGAAAGCCCTGAAAATGAAGAATACACATAGAGGGTGTGAGACATCATTCTTATTGTCAAAATTTGTCTACAGGAAAAGCTACTTATCCACTATATATATATATATATATATAAAAGAAAGAAGAAATATAATGCAAACTTCAAAAATTAAGCTATAAAAAAAAGGAAATGTAGGATCAATATTATTCTTGGATGAGTATTGATAATTAGAACATCTTGTAAATACATCTATGAGTGAAGAAGTGATAAAGATGTGAATAGAAGAAGTGAAGTCTAAATTATTATTCTAAGGAGTATTTAAATATTTAAGTGCTTGACATCATTTTTAAATACTTGATATAAGAATCCAAAGTATCTAAAAGTGCATCATTTCTAATTGTATTTTTTTTCTGTATTGAAATCTGATGTTTGAGACTTGTAAATTTTTATTTCGTAATTCCACTACTAAGGGACTAGCAATGATTTAAGTTGGGGGTGTGATAAGTCTTCATTATCATGAGTTAATAATTAGTAAATAATATAGTTTTAGCCTTAACTCATGATAAAGAGACTTATCTTTATGTTAAAGTGTGAAAAGTGGTTTTTAGTTGATTAATGTGAATTTTTAGATAATTATGTGATTTTACATGAATTTATATAATTTTTACAATCTTGCTTTTGAGATAAATGAAGAAAAAGAAATAAATAAATAAAAAAGACAAAACGAGGGGGACCTGCTAGCCAGCCGGGCCTACAAGCGGGTTGAAAGATTAGTTGGGGAGTAGCCACGAGTAGGGGATCGAGCGGCTTGGACTGATAGGGGCACGTGTGTGCCACTCTGCTTCCACATCACCGGTGACCAGCTGACTGCGGGGCAAGGAGTGGTCGTACACGCGAGAAAAGGGACTTGCTTAGAAATGTAACATTAGTATATATTTGTCCGAAAAATCGGCGCACAACCGATGTGGGACTAAACTCACATCACACCTTCCTCAGAAAAGGCAAGCAACCGGTGAGGGGTTTGAATCCTCTTAGAGCCAAAACTCATATTTTTTTATCTGATTATCGCGACTTTCTTGCAGATCGTCGGTGAAGGATTGAGCAACTAGAATCGCTAGATCATCGGCAAAAATCTCATCAACACGATTCGTAGAGCATTGTTACTAAAATTGCTAAATGATTCGCGATAAAAAGATCGCGAATCCATCGAGTAAAGCATCTTCGATTAATCGACGAACAAGTCGTCGTCAGGAAGGGGACGATCTGCTAGGAGATGAGTCGCCACCTCCTGAAAGCATACCAGATGCGATGAAGAGCCTCCTCTTGTTGCGCGGACCTGAGGATGAAGCTCCCTGACACGTGCCCCACCTCCATCCAGCTCCTCTTTGTCAGGTGACAGCGGTCGAAGAGCCGCAAAGTTGCCATTTTTCTGCTCTGCCGGGTGACAGCCACCGAAGACGATTCAACGAGATCTAGAGATTGCCCACATCGTCTTTGTCCAAGGAGAGCCTTCGAGGCTGTAGACATTGCACGACGATCCTCTCGAACGCTCAGGATTCCGGTATATCACCGACGCTTCGCCGTTGTGATGCCGGAACTTTGTTTTCCTTCTTTCAACTTACTTTACGTTTCATTTAGTGATAATTTGTGTGATTTTAATTTACCAAAATATATTTTGTTCAATTACAATTCTTTTGGTTTTTACAGATCTTAATTTGATTAATTTAATCGTCTGTAATCACTTATGTAAGAATCGCCGGGCGGAACTCTATTTCTGCCCGGTTCGCATTTGCCGGGCGCTAATGTCATCCTAGTATAAAATTATTTCTCTTTTTTGTGAATTTTAAATATATTTTCTTTTCATTTCCTAGTATAAAATTTATAGAAAATCATATTCTTTGAGAAAAATTCTGAATAATTACGAGATTGCATCCCTGTGATTGACTTGGAAAATTACCACTATTTTTGGAAGTTTTATTGAATTATAATTAATATATTTATTTAGAAATACTTCTAAATATTTGAAAATTTATATTTTCTTGTTTTGTAAATTTTAGATTTGCGTGATTTAATATACACCGACTAAGTCACGTCAAGGTCCCTCTTCCTCATCACACCCTAGCTGTCACCCCATTGTGGGTGCCATTGCTCTTAGGTGCCAAGGGCGTCGCCACGGCTATCGAGGTCCCTCCTAGCCATCGCACCCTTGCTGTCACACCCTTGCTATCACACTCTTGTTGTCATTCCCTAGCCGACGCTCCCTTGATGTTGCACCCCAACCCTCGTCGTTGCCATTGTGGGTACCATCGGCATCCGGCCACAGTGGTTTAGGTTTTGCCCATCTTTTGGCAAGCCAACTAGTAGTTTTCTTCCAAACTGGCCCACTCGGGAATGGCCCAACTAGACTCGCGGGCCCACATAGACCCGCAGGCCTAGTGTGGCCCAACCAGCCCTAGCTGAGCCTAGCCAACTTTGCTAAGTCTCGCCAGCTTTGCCTGCTCCTCTGGACTAGCTCGTCGGGCCTTGACCTACTCACCACACCACTTGCCCCTCATGGCGTATCTCACCCCCCTCCGTCGTCTACCTCTAAACCCTTTGAGCTTCTTCTGACTAGTGTTCTCCCTTCTCCAATAATTTCTCCAACTCACCACTCCATCATGATGCAACTTACTCAATCGGTGTACATCTTCCATGGCGATAATTATACATTGTGAGCATCTGGCTTCGAGTTCTTCCTTAGATCTCATAGCCTCCTCCACCTCTTAGAGGACCCACTTGGCCTTTGGGACCCCTTGTATGCAACATAGTCACAGTTTGACTTGGCCATCATCACATAGATGCTTTAGAACATCAAACCTAGCATTGTCGAGCCACTAGCATGCATCACCTCGGTCCATCTCTTGTAACTCACTATAGAGATCATGTATGTCAATCAGACGAACATTGATCGCGTTGTGGAGATCTTTAAGTCTCTTCTCTCCTGCAAATAAGATGATCTCTCTTTAGGCCCACTATGGTCACCTCCAAGCCCTCATCGAGGTTGATATCTATCAACCCCTTACTATCAACATTCTGACCCTCTAGTACTATCGCCACGAGTTTTATGTTGAGGTTTATTGATAACTTGTGAAAACTATATACTGATCTATTATCAAATCAAGAAGAATAATACATATTTGAGAAGTATTTCACAAGTTATCATGTTAATTATTTTATTTATTATTTAAATAAACCTTTCTAAATCTTAATTTAAATTAATATTTTATGAATAAAAAGAAAATGATGAGATTTTATTTCATATCTTGAGGCTTAATTCTCATTTATTTATTTTTAAACATTGTGCTAAATTTTTATGATTTGAAATATATTTTTTATAATTTTTCCAAAAGTTTTAGGCATTAAAATAAATATATGATAACACTCGCATAATATTTCTGATATGGGATTAACTTTATCTTGTTATTCTTTTCAGATTTGGCGGTCGCGCGATAGTAGTGGTCAGATCTGACACACCGCATAAAGTTGTGTTACCGCTGCATCATACGAAAAAGTAGCTCTAGGATCTCACGGTGACTACTAGCAGATCCGACGTACCACATGAAGCCACATCACCGGCGTCGTCATACGAAAAAGTAGCTGCAAGATCCGACGATGACTGCTAGCAGATCTGATGATCCAGGAGATGCCACGTCGCAGCATCAACGCACAAAAAGTAGCCGCCAATCCAACGGTGGCTATCCTCGCACACGGATCCCGATAAATCACAGCAAAAGGCGCGACAGCTAATGGAGATCTAACGACGATTATTGGGCCACATCACCCCTCTTTAGAGCAAAATGACGGTGCAAGGATTCAACGGTCTTCATCGAACCATGTGCCAGAGAAATATATTTACAAATATGGATTATCATTTGGTAAAACATACGATCGATTATTCCCTCTCACACACGGAAGGGTATATGTTCAAATATCGATTATCATCTAGTAAAATAGATAATATTAATTATTACCGCGTGAGAAAAGGAGAAATTCCCGAAAAAATCAGCAAAATACGACAGAAAATAGGAAGTCAAAATAGAAAACGCGATTTGCAGATCTGGGGTACAAAAAGGAGGAAGTAGGGAGAGAAAGGGAGTCTTTTCAGAGTTGTTCTTGGGGTTGTTCTTGAGAAAAAATGTTATTCTTCTTTCTCATATGAAAATAGGAATTTGAAGAGTACATCGTTGATTTTGACTATTCTCCTCTACCTTTTTCACCTTAAATCCATTATGTAGAATTAGATGCAAGACTGAGAAGCGCTACCTAGAAGTTGACATCAAACCATGCATTCTAAGGGTTTGTAACTTTGATTTTTAATAGAGTTTTTATTATTTTCTTGTCTAATCTATAAAATAATTTTATTTTCTTAGGTTTAATCATTTATTTAATTATTTCTCTTCTATTTTATCATTCCAAAGCATATTTAGTTTACTGATTTTAATTTATTCAATTTTAAAATTCATCTTTATATTTATTTGCCATTTTATTTGCTTTATTGCTTTGAATATCAATTTAAATCTTCTAATCAATTTTATAATTCTTTAAATTAAAGAATAAAAATATTTTTAAAAGCCTTCTCTGAGGAGATGACCTAGCTCACCACCATTTTATTTTAATAAATCTAGTTCTATAAATTATTAAAATTGATTGATGATTCTAATAACAACTTAGAACCACATTATTTATATTAGTGGACTTCATTCATCCATCACATCCTAGATTTAAGGGTCTATTCTCTTTGGAGATTTCATGTCTGATCTTACCTCCATCTTCTAGGTAGCCTTTTGGGTCACCACTGATATGTCAATCTACTCCTTCTCTTCCTTTCTAGACGTCTCCTCTACTCCTTTGGCTCTAGCTATTATTGCTTCGTAAGCTCAAGATGATACCCCTCATTTCTACTCTAACAATAGTTGTACTCGTTGCGGACATGGGCACAACACTTTTCCTCCATGTCCTTACTGTAGGAAGTAGAATCATCTAGCTACTAAGTGTTAGAAGTAATTTGGCAAGCCTACTTCTACATAGTTGGTAATAACTTCTCTGACTCTAATGTTCCCCACTCCATACCATATTTTAACTCCTACCTTCCACGTGACCTTGATGCTTGTGAAGTATAATATCATTCGCCACGCGAATAATACCGATGCTTCCACCTCTACTAGGCTCACCTCGTTTTCAACCTCCATACTAAGTACACATGCTCTTCTTGCTTCTTCTTCAATGTTGTGGATTATCGATCCGAGGACCTCCACCCACATGACTAGTATCCCTCCTATTCTCTCCTCCTATCAGCCTACTCAGCCCATCCCCCTATCATCATTGTCGATGGCTGGACCTATCTAGTCAAAGGTCATATAGTGTCACTTCGGCTTCTCTCTTCCTTCACCTTACTCAAGTTCTCTATGTTTCTGGTTTTCTTACTAACCTTCTATTCATTAGTACTATTACCCGTGTCCTCTTTTGTACAATCACATTCTTTCCCTTTCACTGTATTTTTCAAGATCTACGTACCAGATGAAAGATTAGTTTGGGTCATAAAAAAGATTAGGATGTCTACGAACTCATTTTTGATGAACCCTCATTTGGCCTTCAAGTCTTTTTTGTCACGTCTACGACTATTTCTTTTCCTTTGTGGCATTGTCATTTGAACCTTTCTCTAAGTCACAAAAAATCTTATTGTGACTTTCTCTCTCTAAATTTGTGTGCAAGTCTTATCAATTGGGCAAACATCACTGTACTTCTTATTCTAGTTGTGATGGCATCCCCTCTTCCGCTCTATTTGACTTTCTCCATTGTGATGTATGGAGACCATCTTGTACTTCCTCCATCTCGAATCATCATTATGACATCATTTTTGTTGATGACTATACTCATGTAAACTAAGTCTAGTTCCTCCACGACCGCTCTAGGGTTGTTATCGTAATTACTTACTTCATCACCGAAGTTATCACTTAATACACTACTATGCCTAAGATTTTTTGTACTGATAATGCTCGTGAGTTTGTTCAAGCATCTCTTCACACCTTTTGCAATGATCGTGACATCTTCTACCAAACCACTTATCCCCACACTTCGTAGTAGAATGATGTTGCTAAACACAAACATTGTCAGTTCCTTGACATCACTTGTACATTTCTTTTTGAAATGAATGTCTCTTACTATCTTTAGACTAACGTCCTTCTAATTGTCACTTACTTCTAGAATTAGCTTCCCTTCACTCTTCTTGAGGGGGTCATTCCTTTTCATTACTTAATCCTTGATTCTCTTCTTTTTTCTCTTCTCCCTCGAGTCTTTGAATGCACCACCTTCATCTAGGATTTCTCTCTTTCTCTTTTTAAACTCACCCTTTGTGCTCTTAAAGGGGTCTTTGTCATCTACTTTTGTATGCAAAAAGGTTATCAAATCTACTTCTCCAATACGCATTATTATATGACATTGGCCGACGTCACTTTTTATGAGAAGTCTCATTTCTTCTCTCTTATTTTGACTCCTCCTCAGGCCACTATGGAGATAATATCTTCATCATCCTCTTCTACAATCTCTTTTGCATCTTTGGTCACTACTCTACCTAATGTCCTTCATCTCCCTATTGTCCTCCACAAAGGTACACGTGCCTGCACCCACCATCTCATCTCCTAATTTATCTCCTATGACCTTCTTTCTCCTTCTTTTCATGCCTTTGCCCTCTCTATGGCCTCCGAGTTGCTTCAACAATCGCATGTTAAGGCTATACAAATACTTACATGAAAGGCAGCCATAGATTTATAGGTAGCTACATTAGTCGCTCAGGGGACTTGACATTTAGTTACGTGTCCAACTAATGCCAACATTGTGGTGTACAAGTAGATGTTTACTCTCAAGTATCACCTAGATGACTCAATCGCTCATCACAAAGCTCGTCTAGTCGCTCAAGGCTTCACACAAGCATATGTGATCGATTACACTAAGACGTTCTCTCATGTCGTCCGCCTTAACTCTATTCGCGTGCTCCTATCTCTTGTCGTCAATCAGGTATGATCTCTCCACCAGCTAGATGTTTCTAATGCCTTTTTGTACATTGATCTCATGGAGCAAGTCTTTATAGAGCAACTTTTTAGGTATATTGTTCAGGGGGTGTCATCGAAAGTATGTCTCTTGCGGTATGTCATTTATGAGCTCAAGTAGAGTCTATGTGTTTGGTTTAACAAGTTTAGTGATTTACTCATTACCTTTGACTTCACCTTCTACACTGCAGATCCTACCATACTCATGAAGAAAACAAAAGGTGACTTTATCATCCTTACAATCTATGTCAACAATATTCTTGTGATTGAAAGTGATGAGGTCAACATTTTTTGCTATCAAAACTTATTTGCAACAGCACCTCAGCATTCATGACTTGAGGACTCAGTGATATTTTCTTAAGATTGAGTTTATGTATCAAGATTGGAAGCTCACCCTCACTTAGCGAAAGTATACCCTCGACATGCTTCAGGAAATATGCCTCCTTGGGTGTAAGCTGAAAACTTTGCCCATGAAAACTCACCCATAGATCTAAGACATTTCATCTCCCCTACTCAAAGATGCTAACCGATATCGACGATTGTTGGGCAAGTTGATATATTTTACTCACTCGTCTTGACATTATGTACATGGTTAATGTCTTGAGTCAATTCATGTAGAAGCCTTGACAAGTTCATTGGGAGGGAGCTCTATGAGTCCTCACCTACATCAAGTGAGCCCTAGGGAAAGCACTCATCTATCGGCAACACAGCTATCTCCACATTATAGTCTACTCTGACGTTAGATATACAAGTGCTAAAGACAATCGAAAGATTACTACAAGTTATTGCACATACATTGACGATAACTTAGTCACATAGCGATCTCAAAAATAGAGGGTAGTGTCCTATTCTAGTACAGAATCTGAGTATCTAACCATGATTGAGACAACATAGAAAATAATATAGCTTTAATCACTTCTTGACGATCTCGACATTGCTTCTCTCTCTCCAATACTCATACATTACAACAATCAAGTTACCATCTTCATTACTGGTAATCCCACTTTTCATGAGCTTACTAAAGATATTCAAATCGACTGTCATTACATTCAAGATAAAGTTATGTCTGAATTTATCTCTAGTTCTCATGTGACATCATTTCATCAGCTAGCAGATGTCTTCACAAAGAGTCTGGCCGGCATCTCCTATGATGTCACATGTACCAAGTTAGGCATGTTCGACTTATATACTCTAATTTGAGGGAGAGTGTTTGATAGTGATATCAAACTCTCGGCCCACTAAAGCCCATTATCTATCTCTCTCTCATCTCTCCTCTCTCTTATATAGGAGTCGTGTATTCTATCTTGAGACTACATGAATTCTCTTGTGTCAATAAAACCATTATATTTGAGATTTATAGTTTTAATCCAACTGTTAATAAGCATAGCTATTTGCCCTAAAAATTATCTAAATTTCTCTCAAACTATTTTAAAATATCATATACAATTTTAATGAATGAAGTGTTGTTTATTATGATCATGACCTTCATGGTGTCAATATGGTTCACTTTTATTATAACAACTTTCACTATAACTTTCCATATATAGTTGAGGAACTAAATCTTCAGGTGGTAGTTGGTTTTAAACATGACAAAAATTGGAGTTTGAATTGGATGCAAGTTAAGTTGAAACTCCCCATTATGTATGTTTCTATGATACATTTGACACTAAGGATTTCTATAGGCTTACTTACCTTATAAAAGAATATCATCAGATTAGTGGTGCCATCATGATGAAGTTTCATCTTCATGATTGATTATTTTTATATGATGTTGATGCCACATCTCTTACCCCATGATCATAGTGGGGTGCATCACACTATGATGCACCCCTACTCTGTGTGTGTGTGTGTGTGTGAGAGAGAGAGAGAGAGAGAGAGAGAGAGAGAGAAAGAGAGAGAGAGAGATCTTACTATAGAGTCTAGAGAGTAGAATTAGCATACATGCATCATTTAACCAAAACTTGTTAAAGTAAGAGGAACAAGAAGAATTTGACACAATAGGTTTATGTGTTGCATCTAGAGATGATACTATCTAATTTGTACACAAATGTATTTGACAAAGTTTATAGACAATAAATTTATTGATGTCAATAATGGCTGTGTATTCATTGAATTACATTATATTTCATCTAGTGATCTTATTCTATGTACTTATACTGTATACATGACATTTATCTCTTTCTTAAATTTCAGCTTGGAGAAAACCTTTGAAAGCGTGTAAAAGATTTTTAGACGAAGAAAGAAAAGTGAAGAACAATGTTCTTACACGAAAGGTATTATTTACTCAGCTCTATGTTTGACAACATTGTGTGCTTATCCATACATTTATTTGCTTGTTAACTTTTGACAATTAAATGCGTTATCAAAACAATGTATTGATTGGTCCATAAAAAGGACACAGATTTGATTATTTTGTGTCAACCACTAGTCGACTTAAATTGGTTGGTTGACATAAATTGGTTAGTATCTATGTCTTACATCTGATGCATTTGACTCTACGATGATATAGTTTCTAGCATTTTAGCATTATTCTTGCAACTAGGAAATGTGCATGAAGATAGTCATGCTATAGAACAAAAGCATAAACCATGTTGGACCATATTTTGTGTTAACTCATTGTGGCACATAATTTTGGGTGTCTTTCTTAAAACGTTCTTAATGAAATCTGATGAAATACTAAACACTTTTCTTATCAAGGGTAAGAGTGTAGAATTTGAAGATCATGAAATAAAGCATGGACTTGAGGTAGACCATTCCTAAGATCATGAAATGACGGTAAACTCGTCAGCCAACCAGTATACAAATATTAGCACATTCCCATTCCTAACATCAGCTGCCTTTTGCAGGCTTCTCAATGATGGATCATTGAGCACGAAATAAATGAGCTCACAAAGTTAGAGGACAAATTGGAGAGTGAACTGAGGAAAATAAGGTTGAGAAAGGTTAGTTTCTTCTTCACCACTTCTTATCCAGCACCTTGCTTAATCTTTCACTATATCCATATACTTGAATGATTTCAAGTATATTTTTAAGGCTATAACCTCACAATTAGTTTTCACGGCTAATTTTCTAATCAGACATTTTAAGGATATTATTAGTTGTATCAACTTGATGCTGACGAAATCCCACATACAAAATTGGACTGCACTGACGAATGGGAAAAGAGCTGTCTTATGGGCAAGGCATGTTTAATATTTTTTTCCCATTAATAATCAATAAAATTTCAATTGGATATTTTGAAATTTTCAAGTAATATTCAAATGACTCCCACTCTATGAATTACTCTCATTGAAATAAAAGAGAGGCTAAGTAAAAACGAAATATAGTAAACATTTCATGGATGTAAAATAGCATGGAAAAACCAGTAGAAACTTAAAATTTTTTTGTTCATAAATCGGCAAAAAAATACATCTTAGTATTTTGAGAATCCCGAGATGATGTGTTGATTCTACATTGCATGCTCTAATACTATATGCAGATCAATATAGAGATATGATTAAACATTATGACAGAAGAATCTGAGACAATTCAGAGCATTTCAGGAGCCTGCTCTTATTTAGCACTCTTTGAGGCGATCCAGTACATACTCCCTGTTCCAATTCGTTATATGAGTCGAATAAATGGACAGGTCATATTTGACAAATAATAAACCAGATTGTCTCATAAAAGTTCTGTAAAAGACTTGTTTATTTCCATTGGCTTGGAAGTATATACAAAAACATTCCGACTTGTTGTACTCCGGTTGGGCATGCATATAATATGATGGCCCCTTGTCCCCTAACAACGTTCATTATTTTCTAGATCATAAAATGGGTGGAGAGTGAAACAATACTTCACCCATGATGCCTATATGCCAAGGAGAGTTTTTCTTTTCATGCTTTCTTTTTTTCCTTTTCAAAAATAAAGGTCTCGAAGGCTGAAAGTTCTTGTCAGGAAGATCCTCCCAGCGATACAACATACACACACACGCAATGATTTTGCAAAAGTCAACCAGTTGACTTTTTGAGTCTTTGACGACAGTCACATTTCTGACAATCAAATCACAACAGATGGGCGAACGAGATACTCTCCGATTGGGACGAAAATATCTCATTTATTCTCGTAAATAATATGAAAGTAACAGCTTTTATTTTTAGGCTTTCACTGGTTAACTGTTAGATGTGTGAGGAAGAAACGAGTTTCTACTCCCTCATATTTCTTGTAATGTATCCTAATTCTTGGATTTGGGGATGAAATGATTTATTATTGTCAGAGAATGATCCATGCTAGAAAAGCTAATTTCATGATTGGCAGTCTGTTTGAGTTGGATTGGCTGCTTATACATCTGTTAATAGAAACCCAGACTTTGATCATTCATTTCGTTGTGTGCACTGCACTTTCAGCGTTTGTATGACAAAACTACGTGTCACTTTGATCATGTTATAGAATTATCTCACACTAAAAACAATGGTTAAATGAATGGCTAGAGCCATTTTGCTCATTCCCAATTATTTTTCCTTGCTTTGTATAAAGAGAATGCAACCATTGTCATGTATGGGCAAGCATGCCTACTGTTATGTGCAAGCAACAAATTAACTGTTCTATTTTCACATTAATTTTGTGAACACATGGCATGATAGAATGTGTGTCTTGTTCAAAACCAGAAGAAATTATATGCGAGAATATCAATTATGTTAACATACTTTTGAATTACAGATGAACGAACCCATATCACTTTCTGCGGATATGTTCATGTGCTTATACAATCAGTCTGAGTGGCGGCCTGGATCAGCCCAAGTATGTCATATCGGTCCTTGAATGGTGTGTCCCGGAATTGGCTGATTCTGTTGGCCCTGAGAAAATCTGAGTATATTTGTAGGTCTGATTGCAAGGAGTTTATTTTTTGCAGCATCTGATGACGTGTGATATTGTTTTTTAGTTATTTTTGCCACTGCTATGACATGACGATTGAAGAAGCTGCCGAATTGGCTCGAGGGGGCCATCTATGATGCCCATATTCTGAGATGGAGCTAGTGGTGGAATTTCTAGCTGTAATGTTTCTTCATTCTCCACCTACCCACTCTTCCTTGCCGAATAATGCAGACAGACACCTAAACTGTGTGATAATTTCTTCCCTAATGTCTGAAAAGAAAGTCCCACATTGAAAAAATAAAGAAAAAAACCCTTTGGCTACACCATGCTGTATATTTTTTTATTTAAAGCTGCATGAATTTGCATCATATCTACTTCTGAAATTCTCTGTTCTTCAGTTTATTATGTCTGGCCCAATGGATGGAAGAAGCTCTGTGGGGATGATGTTGGCGAGCTGCATTACAAATAATTTCTCGTCGTTCCAAGCCCAGTGGAGTAGGATTCCAGTCTCTTGAGTGCCCTTTGACTGCCTGTTATGGGCATGTGCTTCGCGCAGAAATATGGCCGGCTTTTAACTCTTTTTAATGTACATTGGTTCTGTATATTTGATACCTTCCTTGGATGATTTACATGCTTTGCTCCAGTGCTTGATATCCTTTTTAAATAATTTGACTTGAAGTGATTTCATCAGCCATAAAAATCCCTTAACAGAGTAATTTTAATCTTCTCTTTGAATTTAAATCGGAAAGACAAATAAGTGATTAATATTTTCGTTGTTTCTTATTTTAGTCCTTTTTCATGGGTTTTGCAGAAATTTTCATGACAAATAAAAAAAAAAAAGCAATCTTTGAATTGATGGCGTATGTTAAAGGTAGGAGTTTGAAAACCTCTGGGATCATGCTCCATCTTCTTCCTCCCTGACAATGGCTCATGGGTATAAAATAAGAGAGGCTAAGCCCTGAAAATCATCTTAGAATGGACGATCTAAGATGAAGAACATCTTATGATTTCCTATGTTGCCCTCGGCATTTGCTAAAAATACGTTGGATTTAGTAAATAATTAGTTGGCATGTCTAATGATCAATGATTGGCATAGTCGACGAAGATATTAACCCTCGAGCACAGGAACATAGGCGAGATGCCTGACCGGATAAGCATTTCCAGATCTGGCTGAGAGTAGGCGAGAGGCGGAGAGGGATGGCGGACGCTGTTCTCGGCTACGTCGTGCAACGGGTCGGCGACCTCCTCATCGATGAAGCGGTCTTCCTGTACAAAGTGAAAGATCAGGTGGAGTGGCTCAAGAGGGAGCTCCGGGCGATGGAGTGCTTCCTCAAGGATGCCGACGCGAAAAGCAAGGGGGACGAAAGCGTGAAGAACTGGGTGAGGGATGTGAGGGAAATCGCTCATCAGGCGGAGGACCTCGTCGAGTCTTACGTCCTCGATGCCGAGCGGAAACAACGGCGGAAAAGGAGCTTCATCCGAACCACTGTGTGTTGCCGCCTTCCACCCCTCAATGAATTCATCGTTCTCCATAAATTCGGTAACGAGATCGAGGCCATAAGGGTCAAAATCGACGAAATCAATGGACGAAGAAGCACCTACGGAATCGAGAACCTGGGCGGAGAGCCGAGGAGGCAGATCGACAAGACAGTGCGGGAACGAAGGCGGGTCGTTCTCCATGCCCCAGACACTGATCTGGTCGGCATGGATGAGGAGAAGGACAAAATCCTGGGACATCTGCTCGACGGGAGCAAGAAGAAGCGATCGATGATCTCTATTGTGGGGATGGGCGGCCTCGGGAAGACCACTCTTGCTAAGAGAGTCTTCAACGAAGCAAAAGCCAGGTTCAGTCTCTCGGTTTGGATCGATGTCTCCCAGCAGTACTCAGCTGAGGGTCTCCTTCGAGACATTCTTCGGCAGGTCACGAAGCTCAAAGTAAAGAAACTCGAGCAAATGACGAGGGCCCAGTGTGAGGAGAAGCTTTACGAAACCTTAGAGGCGGAGAACTACTTGATCGTCATGGATGACGTGTGGGACACCGAGGTCTGGAAAATCCTCAGTCGGCATCTCCCAGACGCCCAGAACGGAAGCCGGGTGCTCATCACCACCCGCGACAAAAAAGTCGCCCGAGCTGCGGATCCATCAACCCCTCCCCTTGAGTTGCGGCCACTTAGCAAGGAGGAGAGCTGGGAGCTCCTCTCCAAGAAGGCGTTCCCGTATCAGGAGGATATCGAAGCAATCTGCTCAGAATCGCTGAGGAATTTGGGGAAACAGATTGCGAGGAAATGCGGGGGCCTGCCTCTGGCTCTGGTGGTGCTCGGCGGTCTGCTGTCCACGAAAGATCCGTCAGTCTGGGCGTGGAAGAGGCTCGCGGATACACTCGTCTGGGAAAACATGGAGGAAGGCCGAGTGTGCTTGGATATACTGGCGCTGAGCTACGAGGACTTGCCGCGTCACCTTAAGTGTTGTTTCCTTTATTTCAGTTCTCTTCCAGAGGACCTCGAGATTAGAGTCGACAAGCTGATCAGATTATGGATCGCGGAGGGGTTCGTCGAGCAAAGAGAAGGTGAAACACTGGAAGAAACTGCAGAGGATTACCTGGAAGAGCTCGTCCAGAGGTGCATGGTGATACTTGTGCAAGATGATGACCTCTTGAGGATGATAGTTGAGGTAAGATGCCGGATCCATGATGTGCTGCACGATTTTACCGTTGCAGAGGCCAAGGAGGTGGGCTTCCTCGTCTGTCACCGGATCCGAGACGACGGAGACGCCTCCCCACTGGATTCGTCCGTGCGGCGTCTTTCTCTTCAGGGGAATAAAGCGTCGTACTGGGACTCGAAGTCCACCCCAAGACTGCGCACCTTGCTGTCCTTCGGATTCGTCGGCGAATCTGATATAAAGAGAACCTTCCCCCCTTTTCCAGATCTGAAACTGCTGAGAGTCGTCGATCTGGAGAGGGCACCAATCTTCGAACTGCCAGAACAAGTTGGAGACCTGATCCATCTTCGATACTTGGGCTTGAAAGATACAGAGATAGATAGTCTTCCGTCTTCAGTGGGGAAACTTCGTCATCTACAGTGCTTGGACGCAAAGTGGACTAAAATCAAAACGATGCCGAGAGGTTTCTGGAAGATCGAGGCCTTACGCCAGGTCATCGTTCCCTTTCCAATGGAGCCGGAGATGCTGGTGGCAGGCCTAAGCAACTTGCAGGTGCTCAAGGGGGTCCGGGCCGGGAGGTGGATAGATAGCTGCCTAGGGAGCCTTACCAGTCTCCGGGAGCTGGAAATAATAGGCATCCAAGACTATCAGCATCACGCGCTGTCATCTTGGCTACCGGAGTTGCGACACCTGAAGAAGTTGTGGTTACGAGGCGAGTCCGTCCCAGAGTTTCTATGGACAACACCATCCAGCTTTTCTTCCCTTCAAGTCCTATCGCTGTTAGGGAGAGTGAGGAGGCCACCACAACAATCAAGTTCTGGCGGCGACCAGTGGCCCCCCAATCTCACCAAAGTCACACTACGGGGGACCAGTCTGGGTCAAGACTCGATTGCGGCGCTCGAGAAGCTCCCTGAACTTACATATCTGTGTCTTCGTTGGTCCTACGAAGGGAACGAGATGATCTGCTCCCGCGGCGGGTTCCCGAAACTGGAGTCCCTCGTACTTGAACTGGACGAGTTAGAGAGGTGGGTAATTGAGGCCGGGGCCATGCCCCGCCTGAGGAGATTGATGATCGTCCGCTGCGAGAAGTTGGCGATGCTTCCGGAAGGGTTGCAACAGATGGCTGCATTGAAGGAGCTCGTTTTGTTGTATATGTCCCCTGAAATCCGTTCAAGAGCTGAAAAGGAGGGAGAGGACTGGCCCAAAATCCAACACATACCTTCAATCACCATTGAAGACTCATGGGAAAACCCGCCGCCGTCGCCGTCGTCTCTCTGTGTTACTCTCTCTCTCTCTCTCTCTCTCTCTCTCTCTCTTATGTCAGAAATAACGAGCATAACATTATCTCATTAAAGTACTCCATACTCTTGGGCATTGCAATTGTTCATAAGAATTTTATTTTCTATTTTTAGGAAGAATAACGATAACTAGTCTAGTCACCGGCGAAACTCACAGATGGAATACTTGCCGGCGCCGGAAAAGACTCATGCCGCCGGAAAACCTTCCGCAGCAGCAGCGGCGGCAGCGGCGGCGGCGGAGCAGATGAAGATCGTCCTCCTCTTAACCTCGTCTGGCTCTCACCTCCTCGCGGCGCTGTCGCCGAACGGTCTCACGCTGCTTGCTTTCAAATCCTCCCTCTGGTGATCCCTCCGCCAGCCTCGCCGGCTGGGAAGAGGCCGATGGGGATCCCTGCCGGTGGCCTGGAGTCTCCTACAACAATGTCGCCGGCTTCGCCTACTCTCGCGTCGTCGTCCTCACCATCTCCGCCAAGAATCAATGCGAGTTCCTCGGGTTTTCCTATTTAACTGCCGTAAATTCCTCATCTTATTCTCCCACACAGCTCATAAGATTGTCTCTTCGTTATTCGTTTTTGTTAGTTCTGTGACCTTGCTGTTCTTTTATTTCTGAAGACGAATTCCTTGTGATTGTGGGTTTAGGATGGTAGAAGCTGCTGTTCAGTTTTCTCCCACAAAACCACCTGCCGCAGTGGGCGGGGGAAGCAAAGGAGCAGAATACAGCTTCTATTGCTACTACCGTGAAGGTGAGTTCATCTTCACGCATTAGAAAGATATTTAATACGGCCGATGGAGAGGTTCAGCCCTAGATTTGTAAATGAAAGGAAGCCATAATCTAGTATAACAGAAAGATTTAGAAGCGAAAAATAGAGGCTCAATTTTTTATTCAAAAGAAGAATCTGAACTGTCTGTCGTTCCTGACAAAAATGTGGTTAATGAAATTGAAGAAAGCAAGGACAAATTCTGGAATGTATCATCTTCCTCTTAAATTGGTCCACTTTCTTCTAAAAAATCGTCCCTGAATTTATTTATAATCTATCTTTTGTTTCCTTCCCTGGCATTGTCATAGTTTGCCCCCCTTGGGACAGTTCTTGGCCTGTCTATTGGCATTAACTTGGGTCTCTGTGCCATTAGAAACATCCAGCTTATAGAATGAACCGTGCAGATCAAATTCTGGATGAATAGCATGAGACATTTCTCTTCAGATACTATTATCACCGTCAGTTGCTCTGTTTTATAATGTACATGGATGGCAAAAGTCCACACAGCCTAACTTTATAGAACTTGTGCCAATTTTGATTGCATGGTAGTCCATCGTAAAACCTTTTAAAAATGATAGCTTTTCTATTCAAGAAGTTGCCAAGCCTGAAGTAGTTGTTCCTAAACGGCTCGCTGATCCCAGATTGGCATACCGAAGTTGCTAAGCCTGAAGAAGTTGCTCTAAAACGGCTCGCTGATCCCAGATTGGCTATGGACAACATCCAGCTCTTCTTTCCTTGAAGAGTTATCCTTGATAGTGAAAGTGAGGAGGCCAGAACAATCAAGTTCTGGCGGCGACCAGTGGCCCCTCAATCTCCCTGAACTCGTACTTATACGACACTGGTCTGGGTCAAGACTCGACTGCGGCGCTCTACATCCATACCTGTATCTAGGTCGCAGATCCTACAAAGGGAACGAGATGATCTGCTCCCGCGGCGGGTTCCCGCAACTGGAGTCCCTCTTACTCAGCTTCACTAAACGAGTTAGAGAGGTGGGTAGCTGAGGCTGCGGGCCATGCCCCGCCTGAGGAGATTGACGATCAAGAACTGCAGAAACTTGGCAATGATTCCGAAGGGTTTCAACACATGGCTGCTTTGAAGGAACTCGCTTTGATGTTTATGTCCCATGAACTCTGTTCTAGAACTCAAAAAGGAGAGAAAGGACTGGCCCAAAATCCAACACATACCTTCAATCACCAGCTGACTCTAATTGAAGTCAACAGAAATTTGCATGTTTATTATTTAGAGGGAAGATTGTCCTTTGTCATCATTTAATACTCCCCAATATCATGCATTGCATACTTGCTATATTTTACTCCATTAGAAAGGAAATTTTCATAAGATTACTGAGAGAAACAACTCGATATCATGCACCTAATTAGGACCGAAGAAATATCCATCTTTGCTATTTTATTCTTCATAAAATCAGGTCTCTTAGTGTTCGTATCTACTTTTTGTGGGGGGGCCTCCACGTCCCACCACAAAAGAAGAAGAGAAAAAAATAAAATCCAACTCTCTGCCTAGAATGTTTGACTTTGGCATTGATGCTTTTGAGTAGCACAAGAGCCTCGAAAACCTCCAACCCAGTGCTGTACTGCACCTGCTGCCCAACTTCTGCATGATGTCTCTCTACTGCACATGCCAGATAATGGTGCCATTCTATAGAATTTCTTCCGAATGGCTGAAGAGGTTGGCTTGCGATCAACGGTGACAAGGAAAAGGAAGCCAATAAATCCATGGTTTTCATTCCTTGACACTTGCTTCTGAATTGGATCGTCCAATCTCAACATGTTCTACCAAGTGGATGTGGGTCAGCAGATTTCACTAGTTAAATATTGAATGTGTAAGGAGGAAAACGAGTTTTTGTTCCCTCATGTCTCGCGCAATGTATCATAATTGTGGCATTTGGGAATGAGATAATCTATTATTGTCAGAGAATGATGCACGTATAAGAGCTAATTCCATGATTGCTAGTTGATTAGGGCTAGGTTGGTTCTATATTCATCTGTTATCAGAACCTCAGATCTTGATCTTTTCGTCATGTACACTGCGTTTCTAATGTTTGTATGACATAACATAACTATTCGTGATGGAGCATGCTAATGGATTATCTAACATTGAAAATAATGGTTAAATACATGAGAAGAAAGTACTCATTCCCAATTATTTTTGAGTTGTGAGGCCTGATTTTTTCATACTCTTAAGATGGAGGTTTTATAGTATGAACGATCCAGCATAGTTTTTTCGCACATTTATTTTGGGAGTCTTACATGTGCTACCTTTGGTCTTTGCATTGGATAAATAGAATGCATCTTTGATGCTTATCAGACGATATCTGGCATGTATAGCACATAGCCTGATGTGCAGGCAGCAGTAAAATAAGTGTTCTACCTTCATATGAATGATGTAAACATGGGACATGCATAGAATGCGTGTCGCTTTCGAAACCAGAATTATATGCTACAACATCAGTTATATAAACATACTGTTGTTGAATTACTCACGGTTATACAGCGAGCTAACGAATCGATATTGCTTGATAGTGACATTATTATATAGTTCGTACTTTCGCTTTATTCCTGAACTAGTGTTGGAAATCATACTAGTAAAGTTTTGATGTCAAACTCGTGGCTCTGAAAGTCTGAGTAGCTGCCTGGATCAGCCTAAGGTGGTCAAATCTGAATAGATTTCTAGCTGTGTTTGCATGGGGTCTAATTTTGGTAACATTTGATGACGTGTAATCCTTTTTTAGTGATTGTTTCTTGAGACTGCTGCTAGTGACAGGTTTTTTTTTCCATTTTGAACTTCTCAATCTGTGAAGAAAATCATAGAGATCAATCGATACATGACTGGAGGCGCTGCAGAATACCAATTTTGGCACAGAAATTTGGGCATCAAAGGTACACCTACTGTTGTTAATTACTCTTATTAGCTTACTTTTTTGCGAGTGTTCATTTAATGCATGACTATTATTCACGAAAAACTGATTATATCATGTTTCTAAATTTCCTTGTGTTTTTCGTTATGCTATTCCTTTCAGTGTAGTCTGCATGAACTAGCAAAGAAGCGAAGAATTTCGGTGACAGGTGTCTCAAAGCTGTTGGACATTAATATTCTGTATCCCTACAAGCGGATGGGACTTTCGCTAGGAACTATGATTGGTGGATAGGATGAAATGGTATAATCGTTCGAGGGTGTTTCTAATTCATTTCACCCTCTTGCCTCTATTTCTCACCATTTGACCATTTGCACCACAAGGAACAGGGCCGTGGTCCATACTACATTGATGCCGAAGTAGCCAGGCTTAGAGGTGATGGGTTTTCTGTTGGATCAGGATCATCACACGCATATTATTCAGTTGTAGTCATGATAATTAAGGTTTTACATATTTTAAATAACTGATATTACTCCTTGAAATTGCTGTCAAATAAAAGATAATCTTAAGCTAATCCCTGTGATGACAAATGACCATTACTTCATTTAAGTGAGTTAGTTAACACTACACAAAAAAATTGATTTCAGTCTAGTTAAGTGATACCATGGAGATATAGTGGAAATTGAAAATTATATATTTAAAACTAAAAGTCACTCTCATGTCAAGAAATTATATTGTTTATCTTGCGCCTGCTCTTACTAGAGCTGAACCAGCTGTGTAAAAATTTCTAGCTTAAGAATACCTAACAACAAAATAGCCTTGCATTGAGAGGTTTTATGTTTTTTCCGTCACAAGATGTTATTAAAGTATTGGCCTTCCTAAAAACATGTACGACCCAAATTAGTTACGTATTATCAGCAACAAATAACTTGCATTGTTTCAGCGGACTTCACCAATTCGGTAACGAGATCGAGGCCATAATGGCCAAAATCGACGAAATCAATCGACGACGAAGCACCTACGGAATCCAGGACCTGGGCGGAGAGCCGGGGAGGCAGATCGACAACACAGTGGGGGAACGAAGGCGGGTCGTTCTCCATGCCCCAGATCCTGACCTTGTCTGTATGGACGAGGAGAAGAACAGAATCCTAGAAAATCTGTTGGACGGGAGCAGGAAAGAAGCGGTCGGTGATCTCCATTGTGGGGATGGGCGGCCTCGGGAAGACCACTATTGCTAAGAGAGTCTTCAACGAAGCAAGAGCCAAGTTCGGTCACCCGGTGTGGATCGACGTCTCCCAGCAATACTCCGCTGTGGATCTCCTTGGAGACATTCTTTCGGAGGTCACGAAGCTCAACGTAAAGAAACTCGAGCAAATGACGAGGGCCGAGTATGAAGCGATGCTTTACCAGACCATGGGGGCGAAGAAATACTTGATCGTCATGGATGACGTGTGGGATACCGACGTTTGGAGAATGCTCAATCCGCATCTCCCAGACGCCCAGAACGGAAGCCGGGTGCTCATCACCAGCCTGTCCGTAGAAGTTGCCAGATCTGCGGATACATGTACCCCTCCCTACGAGCTGCGATTTCTAACCGAGGAGTAGAGCTGGGAGCTCCTCTCCAAGAAAGCTTTCCCGAAAAAGGAGGATATCGAAGCATTTGTAATTTTTATTTTCAGATCATCAATAATTTTCGGACATCAAATAAGGAGGATACCTTGGAGACTTAGTAGAAATTGAAAAAAAATATTAAAAGCTTAAAGTCACTCTCTCATGTCAAGGTTCAATCATCAATAATTTCCGACAGTCGTCAAGTATGAGCATTTGATGGGGACAGCTAACCAGCTCTCTTGACGAAATTATTTTCTATTGGTTTCTTGATATGGTCAAGATATGGTGGCGTTGAAAAGAAGCCTTTGACCTTGTTGACCAATTTGTTGGCACGTGGGTGGGTGACGAGATGTATCAATGATGAGCGACTTCCCAGTCACCAATTCCTCGAGTCAATTCAGTTTTCAGTGTCTTAGAATTTATTTCTTAAATTAGTGGGTACGAGAAATCATGTTTTCTCACATTTTTTGGGTTTATCTTCTATTTTAGCCTTAACTCACGCTTTCGTTTTATTCCCAGTAACAAAATAAAACATCAAGCTATATTTTTTTTTCTTATTGTTCTTCGCTCTTACATAGTTGAGAAACCTGATCGGATAAGCATTTCCAGATCTGCCTGAGAAGAAGCGAAAGGCGGAGAGGGATGGCGGACGCGGCTCTCGGCTACGTCGTGCAACGGGTCGGCGACCTCCTCATCAATGAAGCGGTCTTCCTGTACTCGGTGAAAGATCAGGTGGAATGGGTCAAGGAGGAGCTCCAGGCGATGGAGTGCTTCCTGAAGGACGCCGACGCGAAGAGCAAGGGGGACGAAAGGGTGAAGAACTGGGTGAGGCAAGTGAGGGAAATCGCTTATCGGGCGGAGGACCTTGTCGAGTCCTTCGTCCTCGATGCCGATGGGAGACGTCGGAGGAGGAAGGGCTTCATCCGGACCATTTTGTGTTGCCGCCTTCCGTCCCCCAACGGCATCATCCTACTCCACCAATTCGGTGACGAGATCGAGGCCATACGGGCCAAAATCGACGAAATCAATCGACGAAGAGGTACCTACGGAATCCAGGACCTGGGCGGAGAGCCTGGGAGGCAGATCGACAACACAGTGCGGGAACGAAGGCGGGTCGTTCTCCATGCCACATATGCTGATCTGGTGGGCATGGACGAGGAGAAGAACAGAATCGTGGAACATCTGTCGGACAAGAGCAAGAAGAAGCGGTCGGTGATCTCGATTGTGGGGATGGGCGGCCTCGGGAAGACCACTCTTGCTAAGAGAGTCTTCAACGAAGCAAAATCCAGGTTCAGTCACTCGGTTTGGATCGATGTCTCCCAGCAGTATTCCGCTGAGGATCTCCTTCTAGAGATTCTTCTGCAGGTCAAGAAGACCGGAGAAGGGGAACTCGAGAAAATGACGAGGCCCAAGCGCGAGGAAATGCTTTACCAGACCTTGCTGGCGGATAACTACTTGATCGTCATGGATGACGTGTGGGACACCGACGTTTGGAAAATCCTCAGTCCGCATCTCCCAGACACCGAGAACGGAAGCCGGGTGCTCATCACCACCCGGTCCGTCGAAGTTGCCAGATCTGCGGATACATCTACCCCTCCCCTTAAGCTGGGATTTCTAACCGAGGAGGAGAGCTGGGAGCTCCTCTCCAGGAAGGCGTTCCCGAATCAGGAGGATATCGGAGTAGTCTGTTCAGAACCGTTGAGGGATGTCGGGAAACAGATTGCGAGGAAATGTGGGGGCCTGCCTCTGGCGCTGGTGGTGCTCGGGGGTCTGCTGTCGACGAAAGGTCCGTCACTCCGGGCGTGGAGGAGGGTCGCGGAGACACTAGTGTGGGAAACCAGCAAAGATGGCCGAGTGTGCTTGGATATACTGGCGCTGAGCTACGAGGACTTGCCCCGTCGCCTAAAGTGGTGTTTCCTTTATTTCAGTTCTCTTCCAGAGGACTTCGAGATTGAAGTCGACAAGCTGATCACATTGTGGATCGCGGAGGGGTTCGTCGAGCAAAGAGCAGGTGAAACACTGGAAGAAACTGCAGAGGATTACCTGGAAGAGCTCGTCCAGAGGTGCATGGTGATGCGAGATGTATCTGAGCTACGATGCCGGATCCATGATGTGCTGCACGATTTTACTGTTGCAGAGGCTAAGGAGGTGGGGTTCCTCGTCTCTCACGGGATTGGAGACGACCGTGGGGCCTCCCAACTGGATTCCTCCGTGCGGCGGCTTTCTCTTCAGGGGGAAAAAGCGTGGTGCTGGGACTCGCTGTCCACTCCAAGACTGCGCACCTTGCTGACGTTCGGAGCCCGTCGCAAATTCGGTAAAAATAGAACCTTCCCCTTTCTACATCTAAAACTGCTCAGAGTCGTCGATCTGGGGAGGACACGAATCGCCAAACTGCCAGAACAGGTTGGAGACCTGATCCATCTTCGATACTTGGGCTTGAAAAATACAAAGATAACGAGTCTTCCGTCTTCAGTGGGGAAACTTCGTCATCTACAGTGCTTGGACGCGGAGTGGACGGAAATCAAAACGATGCCCAGAGGTTTCTGGAAGATCGAGGCCCTACGCCAGGTCATCGTTCCCTTTCCAGTGGAGCCGGAGATGCTGGTGGCAGGCCTAAGCAACTTGCAGGTGCTCAAGGAGGTCCGGGCCGGGAGGTGGATAGATAGCTGCCTAGGGAGCCTTAGCAGTCTCCGGGAGCTGCAAATAAGAGGCATCAAAGACTGTCATCATCTCGCGCTGTCATCTTGGCTACTGAAGTTGCCACGCCTGAAGAAGTTGGGCTTGCGAGGCGAGTCGATTCCAGATTGTCTGTGGACATCGTCCAGCTTTTCTTCCCTTCAAGTCTTATCGCTGTTAGGGGTAGTGAGGAGGCCACCACAAGAATCAAGTTCTGGCGGCGACCAGTGGCCCCCCAATCTCACCCAACTCACACTAGAGTACGCCAGTCTGAGTCAGGACTCGATTGCGGCGCTCGAGAAGCTCCCTGAACTTACATATCTGTATCTAGGTGCTGGATCCTACGAAGGGAACGAGATGATCTGCTCCCGCGGCGGGTTCCCGAAACTGGAGTCCCTCGAACTTTTTGCACTGAAGAAGTTAGAGAGGTGGGTAATTGAGGCCGGGGCCATGCCCCGCCTGAGGAGCTTGGAGATCTACGGCTGCACAAAGTTGGCGATGCTTCCGGAAGGGTTGCAACAGATGACTGCTTTGAACGAGCTCTATTTGACTGCTATGTCCCCTGAAATCTGTTCGAGAGCTCAAAAGGAGGGAGAGGACTGGCCCAAAATCCAACACATACCTTCAATCACCATTACAGTCATATCGAGTGACGGCGAGGTCGTATACGAGCGTATTTCGGATTAAGGGCAGGATTGTCCTTCGTATCATGTAATATCTGTAAACCTGCGATAGCAAGGGAAAACCCGCCTTCTCCATTTGTGCTTTGGGAGCATTGTATGATGTCAACGAGGATTGAACGTGTGTTCTCCATTTGCTTCTGAATTCGATCATCCAACCTCACTATATCTGCCTAGTTGATGTGGGTCAACAACTTTCACTGTTAGGAAGAAACGAGTTTTTTTCCCCTCAAAATTCGCGTAATCTGTCCTGATTGTTGGATTTCGAGATGAAATAACTTATCATTGTTAGAGAATGATCCATATACTATAATAAAAGCCAATTTCATGATTGGCAGTCCGTTTGAGTTGGATTTGTTGGTTATACATGTGTTAACATAAACCCAGATTTTGATATTTTCGCTGTGTGCACTGGGTTTCTAATGGTTGTATGACATAACTACTCGTGAGGGAGCATGTCGAAGAATTATCTCACATTAAACATGCCCATTCCTAATTATTTTTAAGTTGTGGGTTTTACACTCCATCAAGAATTATTTCCTTGAACTATGTACTGCTATGTCAATAAATAATAGATCGATAACATTCGAGACAATTCTTATTCAAGAGAAAGCCAACAGAAAGATTCGATTCGGATTTCGTACAACCGGTGCTGCTGCTGCTGCCTGCGCGTAGGGCCTCCAGCTTGCTGAAGTTATATTGACTAGGAATTTCCATCTGCCATGGTGTTGTGGGAGGGAGCTGCTGGCCTCACTCGCATTAGGGCCAAGGGGAGTTGTCCGATTGCCACGTGTGGAAAAACGGCCCGGTAAGAATCGGATACGACACTTGGCAAATGAGTGATCATCCTGCTCGTCGATAGCTCGATGGACAAGCACGATTCTCAACAGTACTTGAATGAAAGAAAACTCAGGGCTGGGCCAGGGACCGAAAATTCTCATGGGGCTGAAAAAGGGGAAGAAAAATTCTCAAGGGGCGCTCCGAGAGAGCCCAATTGCTCTATTCAAGGCTCTAATCATCGCGTGAGCAAACTGCCCACACGAGGGGAGGATTAGGGCCTGGTCTGTGGATATAATTATAAACTAGCCTATGCATACATGAGGCGGAGATGGCGGGATGATGACAGGCTTTGATCCGTGATGGTAAGGCTCCCTACGCAGCTACCTATCCAGCTCCCGGCCTGGACCTCCTTGAACACCTGCAAGTTTCTTAAGCCTGCCTGCACCATACTCAGCTCCACGTGTTCCTCAAAGAGGACCTGCCGTAAGGAAGCAGTGAGCCGAATATGGTGGAGGCAGGCTTAAGATACTTGTAAATGCTTGATGGGTACCTAGGGTGGATGGACAGAAGGTGGAGAAGGGAGGAAGACGATAACCAGAGGTAGGACAAAGTATAGAGATAGAAAAAGAAGATTAAACAGAAATAAGACGTAGATTGGGCTCCGAAGAATATTGAGTTGGTTGGGGGCGTTCGAGAGTTCCCCCGCTCTCCCTCAGCCACAGCTGCCCTTCCTAAAGTCCTCACTTGAAGGGTTTGTTTGGTCCTTCAAGAAGGGGTGCTGGGTCCTTTGGGCCTCTTTTCAAGGCTGATAGTAATTAGGCCCACTGGGCCTCAACTGTGAGCTCAAGGAGGTCCGGGCCGGTGCTTATTTCATGTTTACCTTCAAACATCAGTTGGTTAAAACTGATTTCTATTCCATTTCTAGCCCGCCCAGTGCTTGCAAGAGAATCTCATCAGAATACTACTACTTTGATAGGCAAGTATTGTCTCAATCCACCCCACACAGCTCATAAGATTGTATCTTGCTTATTCGTTTTTGTTAGGTTTATTGACCTTGTTCTTCTTTTATTTATAAATAAGAGTTCCTTGTTCTTTCCTCGGGATGGTAGAAGCTGCTCTTCTGTTTTGTCCCACGAAACCATCTGGCGCAGTTGGCGGGGGAAGCAAAGGAGCAGAATCCAGCTTCTATTGCTACCGTGACGGTGAGTAGCCGATGGAGGGGGGAGGTCCACGCCTAGATTTGTAAATGATAGCCTCGGACTGGCTGAAATGAAGTCATCAATTAGTATAATAGAAAGATTTGGAAGGAGAAAAAGGAGGCATAATGATTCAAAGGAAGAATCTGAACTATATATTGCTCATGAAAAAAAATGTGTCGAATGGAACTGAAGAAAGCAAGGGCAATCATACTCCAATTGCATCTGGCACCTATGCTCATTGTTTGGTGGTGAAAGCCTGAGAGAATTCGGCAATCCCTCTCTGTTCAGGTATGTTTCCACATGTTGAATATACTAGCTCTTTGTTTGTAATACTTGGGAGGTCATCCTTAATTTATTGGTTATATGATTGCTGAATGTTATATTCATTTTGATTTGGAATATGTTGAAATGCCTTGAAAATAATTTTTGGATATTACGCTGACATTATATTGGTGAGCGACCAGGCATTCTTGAAATCAATATGAATACTTTTTTTATTTTATCCACATTTATGTGGAAGACAATAGTATTACAAATACCGCGAATATTAAAAAGAAACAGAAGTGATGTGGGTCTATTTTTAGCATGCTTTGGGAAAATCCTATTTTCAAATACTGTACAGGTTATGCTAATCACACGAAGTTTCTCACATCCTATTTATCCGATCCATTTCTGAATTATACTTTCGTGACAATAATGTTTGTTTTCTTGTAGTGTTCTTCTGGAAACTATATCTAGGCTGCGAAATTAATATGGTCGGTTCCTTCCACTACATGAAATGGGTACATGAGAGTTAAATAGTCATTCATAGCTCCTTGAGAAAAATAATAGTATGGACCATACTCATTTTAACATTGTCCTGACCTGGTGAATGATCCATGTTGCCTGTCATGATGATGCCAATTTATCTCGTTGAATGAGTCTTGGTTTATTAATTATTTCTCATTGACGATGCAAAATCATGTAAAGTTTGTGTTCCACATTTTATTTGATGAATAAAGATAGGCCTATCCTTTGCACTTATTATTAGATCTGTTACTTGAATGGAGATAACTTCGTCCATTCAGTTCTGTCTAAATTTTGTGATTCAAATTCCAGAAAATAGAATCTTCAGTGTTAGTCTGGTAATTTAAGTGTTATATGAAGACAACGAAATTCTAGCTTATAATTATATAATATGTATATATATTTATACAAATGCTGGAAATTTCAGTTTTCCTCTGCATACAATCAGGGAAATTAGAGTTTGTCTTGGTAAAATTCTTGCATGGACAGCACAAATTTTTTTTTTGTGGGGGTTTTTTGATTTTTGTTTTGGTAGATAAGTGTCTCTTCAGAATCTGAGACATTTTCTGTTTAGCTCCTAGCGTCTTTCCCTCTGTTTTCATGTCTTTCAGTTATACAACTCCATTCAAAACGGGTTTCTTACTTCCAGACTGGCAACCTGTATGTCTCTGTTGTTGTTATTCTTATTATGTCCTTGGAAAGTTATTTTAATTCTATTATATGGGGAGAGATTGCCATTTTTATGTTTTGTTCTGTGACACAGGAAGAGGAACCAAGGGTTCAGGGTATGTATAGACGTGAAAAGCTTCAGCGCTGAAGGCAAGTTTGTCTTGAGAAATAGATTTTTGTGACGGGGAGAAAACTTATAATGCTCTCTGCACGCAGGGAAGACAGAAAAACAAGAATGCATGAATTTGATCAAAAGGATCGAGAAGTTTGGAACTGAAGGCACTACAACTTTTATTCACTTCTTAGAATTTTCACTGTTGATCGTAAACTCATGCATTTATTATGGTTCATTCACTGTTATTCTAACATCAATCATATTACCCAAATGTGCGGTAAAAAATTGAATAATAATATTTTTTGCCACAAATATTTACTGTTCTCTTAATTTCGTCTACTATGTTGCATTGGGTTGGCTTTTGGAAATACTATTATACCAATTTAATGATAAAACTTAGTTGTTTTTTTCCTTGTGTACGCAGTTCCATATGTGAGTGGGACTCATTAGTCCGCTCTTTCGTAAGATAGAAATTAGAAAACGGCTATGTTTCTTCTGTCATTTTACTGTGGAAAAGTTCTTCCGGTTCTTAGAAGAGTCAACCTCTTTCCTTGTAAAGAATCTTCGCCTTGATTGTGAGGCACCATAAATAGAGAAAATACTGTAAATAAAAATCCTCTAGTGTGCTCAGTTTTTGTGTTGACCTTCATGTCAAACAAGTCATCGACTTTCTTTTTCCCCCTTTGATGTTTTTTCCAGACTTGGATATCTTTCCAAATAGTCATTAACTTTGCTTTCATCAGTGTTTCCTGCAAGCAATGGCCATTGAAAGAGCATCGCTAATTTTTGACACATGCTTGATGATCAAGCTGTTCTTTACCCAAAAGAAAGAATTGGCCATCTTCCGGTTTTCTTTTTTTAGCACATTCCTTTCATTACCAATCTGGTGAAATTTTAATCAGTCTTGGTAGTAGTTTTGTGTTTAAAGATATTATGATTTTATGACTAATTTTTTCAGAAGACATTATGACTGTATGATTATCATTAAATGGGCTCTGATACTATGAATTTTTCTAAAATCAAACAGCCTCTCATTTTTCAGAGATATCCAGAAACGGTGAATGAAGGAAAGAAGGTCCGAACATTTTGTGGGCTATGTTTAATGCCAGAGGAAAAGGAGGAAACTAAAAGGACACCTAAACTGAATGATGATTTTTATCTGCCGATAATTTCTTCCCTGATGTCAATCTCGCTGATTAGTTCCTTGAATATTTCTCCACATGTATGAAAATCACCCCCATATTCAGTCTGCCGTCAGAAAGGTTCACTTAATATATCCATTATCATTGGCATAGGTAGCCCGATTATCTACATCCATGTTGCAAAAAATCATCAAGGAATCCCCCCAGGAAACTGAGGGATATGGCTGAAAAGTCCCACATTGAAAAGAAAAAGAAACAAAAATACCTGTGCATTGTATGGGCTCAGCAAAATTCTCTGTTCTTCAGTTTATTACGT